TTMYATMAGATTACCAAATTTAATTAATTTTTTTGTTTGCGCCTTTGTTTTAATCAATGCCACCTTAATTGCTTCTCTTTCATTATACATCCTTATATGACATATACTTATCATTGGTACCGTTGAATTTATTCTAAGTTTGAAATCTCTGCTAAGGTGAAAGCACTCAGGGCCACGTCTTCGAACGTCTTTGAATTAAGGTATAGTGTTTTTTTTGGACTTTTTCCACAGCAATTCGTGTAAATTATTTACACATTTTTATCACAAATTTGACACTGCAATTTCCACGGAAATTATGCATGCATGAGTAAGACATGAAGGAAGAAAAACACTGACAAAGCCTGTCTTCGATCATATTGCGATCGTATAAGTACGAACAATATTGCAACTTGAATAAGAAGCTTATGCCTACTTCGTGATTTATCACATAGTAATTAAAGCGATCATTTAATGCAAATCCTAACACTTTCTTCATGCAGTTTGCCACAAACTGGTAGTTATCAGAAATCATGTTTCATATTTTTCTCTTTCAGTAAGATGGAGCGCACAACCGGAGCAACCTTACCAGAGTTAGTTGTTGAAGTGATCCTTCTGTTGTTGTCCTGTTGTGGGACAGTCTTGGCAAACTTCGTGGTAATTGTTGTCGTGGCCACCAAAGAGAAGCTTCACGCTCCAACCTACTTCTACTATTTGAGTCTAGCTGTCTCCGATTTTATTCTGGGTATGGAAGTATGAGGTTCACGGTTTTGTTTTGTTTTTTTGTTTTTGCTTTTCTTGTTTCTGTTCTTGTTTTTTCTTTGCTTTGCTGTGTTTTTGTTATCTGGTGCTTAATGAAAACATCTGGGTTTACCAATTAACTGTGTTAGCCAATAAAGTCAATTGACTTATTTGTTTTTCTTTGTTTGTTGTTTTTTTAAGTTGAGTTTTATTATTTTTTTGTTTTTTTTTGTTTTGTTTTATTTTTATTTTTCATTAATCTGTCCAGACAAGAAGGTTGTGTAAGTCTTTTTTTGTTTTTGAACCAAACAAGCCACAGAGAGGTGGAACCAACAATTTTCAAAATGGACGGAAAACTGCATTGTAAAAACCCATGACGTTTACAAAAGTACTGACTTTTGTGACCAGACTTGGCATAAACTATCGAGTGGAAACAGCACACAGTCAACACACAATAAACCTTCAAAAAACATTGTCAAATGTTTAATTGAGTTTTCCATTCCTTCCTTAAGGTGTATTTTGCATACCGCTGGTAATGGCAGCGTTCATTTTGCACCGTTGGCCGATTGGAAACACCTTGTGTCAATTATACGCCGTCCTCATCAGCATGTCGGTGAACTGTTCCGTTGTGACGCTGGCCATAATCAGTGTGGACCGTTACTTCGCCCTTTCAAAACCTGTGGAGAGCAAAGCCCATCTAACCTTAACCAAACGACGTTACAAACTGATCATTGTCGCCAGCTGGGTGCATTCGGTATTCTGGGCCAGCGGTCCGTTATTTAAATGGGGAAGCACTAAGTTGGACGAGTTCACACATACATGCAAACCCGACTGGGGAGGGGAAGGACTGGCAAATAAAACCTACGCATTGTGTTTGGCGTTTTTCGCCTTCGCAGTACCAGTCAGCGCTATGATATATGCCTATTACAAGATTTATCGCATAGCGAGGGCTTCGAGGAGTGTTGCAGCTCGTTATAATCCCCAAAAGGAAAATTTACCGAAAGGAGAGCACGTCCCACTGAAAGAAAGCACTTCTGCGATACACTCAAATGCTGCTGCAGCTGCGGAAGACAACAAAGCCCTGAAAACAGTCTTGTTGCTGATTGGTTCATTCGCTGCCTGCTGGTCGATTTACACTCTGGCAACCGTCTGGAAGATTTTGGCGCCAAATTCAGTTCCCCCGTGGATTGTCCGCATTGGACTGGTACTTACTCTCTGTAGCTGCTGTATTGACCCGTTCATATATTCAATCCGAGATGAAAAGATGAGAAGGGAAATCAAGGAAATAATCTGCAAGATTCTTTGTAGAAACCATTAAGATCCTTATCCTAAACTCTACTTACAAAAGGATGATGTGTTCTATTTAAAGACTGAAGTTTAGAGGCATCACTGAGAGATTTTACGCCAAATCCATTGAGAAATTATAGAGTTGATCATGTCAAAATTGTCTACCACCGGCTTCACTTGTTCTTTCTTCTCCTTAATCCAAAAATATCCAAGCACTTGTCAGTGGAACTTTTACAAATAGTGGTAAAAGTTCCAAAATGCACCTGGCCCAAAAGAACTAGCATCTCGGGAGGATTGTTAAACTACACTAAATATAACAATGCATGCACTAGCGCACTCTTCTTTAAGATATGTCTGAGGTGAAGAGTATATAGTTAGATTATTTTGAAAAAGAAGGCCAGGTAAGAAGCATCTTTTGTGCTCCGTAGGTCTTCCACGCGTGACTCTTCATGCTCGCGTGCGCCGGTTTGAATTACTCAGTCTAGACGTATGTCTGTCTGCACTTGCCTCTGAGCTTGCCATGAGAAAGGTGTGTGAAAAACATTTCAAGAGGGTCTCAACGGGGTGGTGGCTTTTGCTGGGTAGCGGTTCAAAATTTTTTCACTACGACCAACGGTTCTTTACCTTTTAACTTCAATTATGACTATCATAAATTTGTCTATTTTTAGGCCTAACGGCTCAATCCGGCCTTTTGGCCGTTAACGGCTAAAGGTTAAATCGCTTTCAGCCAGTGTTTTAATATTTTTTTCAGCTAGCCTTGAATCTCGGATGAAAAGAAAAAAAGAATACACTAACAAAAGAGCTTTTAGTCTTAGACGGCGGTTCGTAAATGCGGAACACTAAGAGACCTGAATTTTGGGTTCTAAGGGGCGCCTGGGTAATTATTGCACAAACTTGCTTAATCTGGGAAAAATGTTGGATGTGCGAGGGCTAATAAATTACGAGCATTCCCTAATTTTCGCCAGAGTCCGTCGTGAGAGTCCGAAATTACTCAGCGGAAACAAAAATTGCCGTCGTTGCGCAGCAGAGCGCCTTATTCACAGAACTCCCGTGGCGCATCGACGTCAGTTTCACTTCGCTGATTTTTTTTTTTTTTTTGATGGCTGAAAGAAAGGAACTGTACGTAATCTGGAGGGCAAAGTGAGTCTTGGTTAAATCACCTTCGCCCCATACCCTCGCGCGGTTTGCGCTTCTCCTGTTTGGATGATGAAAAACAGAAAGGCCTACTACGCAGACTATAACTTCGTAAGGATGGTTTGGATATGAGTTGGTAGATACCCTTTGGAACAAGGCATTAAGCTTCAAGTTGGGATTGATTATCCCCATGTACATGATCGCTAAATAATAGATCATTAGTGACAAGGGAAAATACAATTTATAACTAACAAGACAGTACTAGTAATACAAAAATAATTATTTTATTTCTTAATTCTTATTTAGAGTTGTATTCTTTCAAGAATATCAGTTTAATATATTTTTGCTAAACACCATCCACCACAACTTTGACTGCCTTCACTACTTCAGTGAATTCACTCTCAAATCCCAGCAGAAGTCCTGCAAGAAGAATTCTAATGTTAGATTTGGTTTCCAAATTTCTGTCACTATATAGCCTCCCATAATCTTAACTTAATCCACAAAGTTAGTAATAATACAAGACAGCAATTTCAGGCAATTCATTTTGGCTTTTATCCATCGCAGGGTTACCCCCAGCATTAAATGTGCCGGTACCCACTAAAACACCTGGGTGAAGAGAGGCACTGTAAGGGTAAAGTGTCTTGACAAGGACACAACGCAATGTCCCTGGCCAGGGCTCGAACCCCAGATCACTCGATCCAGAGTCAAATACACTAACCACGAGGCCACTTTCCCTCCCAGGAGAAGTAGAAATACTCCTAGTCCCTTCACACTACAGAATCCGGAGTTAAGCGCAAGCCTGATGGGCCACTCGGCTTGTAGACAGACTTTAACTTTCTTTACCATCTTTTCTTTTGGACAACTCATAAATGGAATTTTGCCAAGAATTAGGTCTCCTTGGTAACCTACCTGTGTTTGCCTGATTTGTTGCAATGATGCTGACAACCAGAGGAAAAAAACTAAAATGGACAACCTGGAAAATAAATTAATAAATAAATCAATAAAGGGAACCTTACTTTGCACTCACCTGAAAGTTCACCAATTGAAGATTTTGGGTGAAATCTTGGTTCTGTTCATTTTTGGAAGATAGCTTATGCCCCATCAACACCAATGCTATAGCACAATTTATAGCCCTTTTGTTAAGAACAGTTTCAAATTTTTGTCTTTAAAGAAGTGTCTGAAACCAATATTTGTCAACTTAAAATTTAGCATTAAAACATACAGGTTAGTGACTACTTCCACGCTACACAGAGATCACTATTTTTCAGAAAAGAGATTTTACGATTTTGGTCAAATTACACCAAGTTCAAAATTAATAATGCCTCCAAAAATTTGTTTCCCTCATTCACTAATACACTGAATTAGAAGACTGAATTAATACACCAAATAATATATATTTTTAATTGTTATCACTTAAAAGAACACTTTCTGACCTGATAGGATGCAAAAAAACAGACAATGCTCTTGTTTTTTGATAATCCAAGTTTGCTTGCCTACAAATTAACACAGCAGGATGAAGGGGGGGAAGTAAGTTAGTGAATTAACCCTTTCATTCCCAGATCTCAATAGCAATTCTCCTTACTGTCTGCTATTCAATTCTTAGGATGTTAGTATGGAGAATCTGGTATTGGATCAACTAATAATCCCTTAATTGATGTTTTTCTTTATTCTCATCACTTGCCTGCTTGATATTCTATAGATATTGTCTGGAGAAATTCTGTCTTGGTCACTCATGGATGTTCAAGGATTAATATCTTACTATAAATATTTGATTTCGTGCCTCCATCAAAAAGCAACCTTGCCTTCCATTCTTAAATCAATGGACAATGCAAATCATCTTGTCTTCACAATGAGTTGAAGCAAAATTTGCAAAATTTGAGTTACACATTTAGAACAAACTCTTTTCAAATTGTGAGCTGGAATAGGTATGATTGACAACTTTGTGGCTACCAAATCCATAGGATCAGCGTCATTGGTAAATGTACAAGTATGATTTCCCACAGATGCTTTGTTCCAAAAAACAATTGCATCTGCTACAATTTGAAAAATATTTCAAATAAGCACATCTCTCTTACTTGTTCAGCTGTTGTAGAAAATGTTGAGAGAAAACTGGCTCTCAGAGCATTTTGTGGAGATTTAGGATCTGCAACTGCCAAGTTGAAACAAAACAAGTGATTAACTGCTTATTATTAGCACTTTGTAAGGCATTGTGGCAGAGTGACTCTGCATTAGGATTAAAACATATTTTTGTTTGAGAAAATGAACTCTACTGTTTTATTCAAACACATGAGGACCACATAGAAGTGCTACAATAACAAAGATAGTTGAAGCAGCTTTGATCCTGCCAAGTTGAAACAAAACAAGTGATTAACTGCTTATTATTAGCGCTTTGTAAGGCATTGTGGCAGAGTGACTCTGCTTTAGGATTAAAACATATTTTTGTTTGAGAAAATGAACTCTACCGTTTTATTCAAACACATGAGGACCACATAGAAGTGCTACAATAACTAAGATAGTTGAAGCAGCTTTGATCCTGGTAAAAGTGGAACACATATCCAACCTTAACCTTTGATCTGATTGTTAATTCTACATTCTAGCTACTACACAATCCCTTCTAAATTAGTCATGAGAATTTGGTGTTCAATCACTAGGTATTCACTTTTCTAAGTTTTACATGTGACTTTTATGTCTTGGCATCCTCCATGTATAGTTAAGTAAAAACCCGTGTGTAAGAACCTAGTAATTAAGAACCTTTTGGTAGAAATTTTGGATTTTAATACCCAAAAATATAAGAACCTGTTCACTCAGCAAAACCTGCACGGTTCTTATATGAAGAGTCATTCTGGATAATGAAACAATGTTGTAGCAAAATATGTCTGTAACTTTAATATAAATGTTTTCTATACATTTCATACTTTCACAATACAGTTTTTTTTATTTAATAGCATTTTCATTAAAGATATTTTAAGGGTTAGGGTTAGAACCTGTTTTGTCTAAGTTGTCAGTAAATACCCCAAAACATAAGAACCTATTTTGCCAGACATGAAAAAAACTAGGTTCTTACATGCGGATTTTTACGGTAGCCTATAGACTATATAAATAATGAATAATAATTCTTAATTTTTGCTTCAACTATTGTAGACATACCTTTTCATATTTTATATTTCCTACATTTTTAAATCGACCTATTTATATCTTGGATTTATTTCTACATTTATTATATAATATATATTTTTGTTTTGTTTTATTTGAGGGCCACTGGGTCTTCAGTTCATTAGTACTGTCATGTGTCACCCTCATTAAATAAAGTTACTTACTTACCAATCAAAATAACAACTTCTAACAAATAAGATTAAGCATTCTCATTACCTGTTTGCAGGATAATGTAAGGGTATAATAGGGAGAAGTTTCATGTTAATCACTTCTGTGAGCTAAAAAGTTAATCGCAAATCGTTTATCCTTAGAATTCAGCCATGCTAAGTGAGATGGAAATTTCCTAACTCAACCCAGCCTTGCTGTCAGTATTTGAATTTCTTAATGCGTGTAGCTGTGCTCGTGGATTGCTAAGGGCATCACGTGCCTTATTATTTCATCCTTTGAGCACTGATTCTATCTAGCTCAGATACCTTCTCCCTCCCCCACTCTACAAAACAGAAACATGCATGTACCCATGTTCCCTAAGACAGGTTTGCAAACTAGATGAACACTTTAAATCAAATGTTGGTTTGACAAGACAGAACTGATCAGAAGTAAAATTTGATCGTGAGTTCTCACAACTTCTTTCCTGGTGTACGTCTTTTTATCACAGTTCTAACAGCAAAGGCATGTTTCCCCTGTAAGATGGCAATTCATGTTAAACTACCATTTTACAGAGCATTGGGTTCAATTTGGACTAAAAGACAAATATTGAATGTTCATGGAGAGTTCTTCACGAGCAAATTTGAAATTGGTACGCTCAAACCTATTAGGAGCCCAGGATAGGGGGAATGAAAACGCTCTCAGTTGCTGAACGTTGAGTTCGAAATCGAAAAAATTATATACTAGAATAAATGTTCGCTCCCTTTACCTTTAATGATCGGAACTCCATCTCTATCCGTAACTAAAATGGCAAGAATGCCTTCGTGTCTAAAAAGAAAGGGGATATCAAAAAAACATTGAGAGAAGTTAAGTCACGAGACTTAATTGAGATTTTTAAACTTACAAAAATTTCAACCGGTATTTTTACCGTACTTACCTCTCCACAATCTCCTCAAAATAATTATGGACTCCCTCATAGAAGAAAAATCACAGAGTAAGCTTCCAATGAAAAAAATTAACCTATAAAATTGATACTAAGATCGATTCAAACCTCTGCCATCTTCACAGTTCTTTCCTTTGTAATCCCGAATTGTCACTGAGGGCAGGGGTGTATAATACCTTTGTTGACCTCCTATCCCTCCCTCAATCGCCTCCGTTTTCGTCATTTATTTGCACCTGATGTTTTTTTCCCAAACTGAGAATGTCGAAGACAAATTCGTTTCATAGTATTGTTGATTTTCATTCAGGAATGAGTATCTGACGCGAGGTAACGATGTTAGCAGTGATATTTTTCATACATCACGGGTACTCCCTAAAAAATAATATGTCGTATACAAAAAGACACAACCTATTAAGTTTTTTGAGGATGTGCGCTGTACAAGTGAGCCTGATCACGTGTAGGAACGCAGGGAGCGCGGGAAGGTGTAAACCTGACGCAGTGAGGGCGAAGTAGTTGTAGAGGAGTGAATTTTCTTGTTTTGGCGTAATTTTTGCAATTTATTAGACAAAGAAGTTTTAGAGAATTGAATTTAAGGAATCAAATAAGGTCCTCTGGTTAAAAAACCCGATGGATATGGAGCAGGAGCCAGCAACAATGTCATTGAAGCTGCGTCCTTTCGGAAGGAATGAGGTGAGTTATGTAGATCTAGCAAATTTCAGTCTGTCCAGGTGTGAAGATTGGTCCTTCTCGGTCAGCGATTGAAATTATAATGTTTCGCTGGAGTGACGTGGTTATTGTTATAGTAGAGAGCTACTGATTCGGAATACAGTGAGTTCGTAGCTGTCAAAGTTTGACAGCGGCCTGTCATGGAGCAGTCGGGGTGACAGCTTGCGTCAAGAACGAAGAACAAGGTGGGAAGAGCCCGCAATCCAAACTCCGCGTAACACATTTGGGCAAATTGTAAAAACGCTTGTTTCGGGAAAGAGTAGTCATAATCCTTAAATTGATTGTTGTTTAACGTAAAGCTCTCAAATCATGGCGGCTTTACTCGTCGCAATTGACACGCCTCGATCGTGTATGACGCTAGAAGTTCATTTCCGTCTCTTAAGTTTAGATTGTTAGACTTCAACTTAAAGATCTCTTCCAGTGAAATCGAATCAGAGGACAAAACGATGAGGTGAAATTTTAAGTGAATTCCTGGCGTTCGAATTTCTTCCCTTTTGGACCGGTCTTGCATAGGTGTTGTTCAGTAACTTAACAGGAGTCCACATTTTTCGCGATGAGAGTGAGTTGAAATTGAGGCACTATAAATGATAAAAATGTGAGCCTTTTTTGAAGGGTTTCGACGGGTAATTTTCCTATTATTTCTGTCGATCAATCGGTAATCTTACCCTAAGATGCCCCCTCAAGTCCCCGTATAACTCATTCCTATGCTGTATGCATGCCTAAATAAAAATGGCAATTAGTAATAAGAAATGACGATTATGTTTGGTGGGTAACCATGCTTGTGATTACATTCGTCATTTGTTTTTCCATTCATATGGACTTCATTGTCAAAGGAAAATAAAAAATTTATGAATTTATTCCTTCAGCTTACTTGTGTATGCAGATTTACATTTTCTTAAAGGTCGAATTGTTATTTTATAGTTGCAGAAATCTTGGACTAGTCCAAATGGAGATTTCAGGTCAAGTCAACCACAGTAAGGAAGAATTTCAAAAAACATTTGTAATGAGCTGTTACAATAATGATACTTTAAAATGGCTGTAAGGCCATATTAGTGAGAGAAATAGGAAAGCAGGCTTTTCACAAAGCCTTTGAAATTTAGAATTCATTAGCTACTGCTCAAAATTCATTGGCTAAAGTTCTGAGCCCAGTTGTTCAGAAGGTGGATAACACTAATGGTTACATCTCTATTCAGGGGTTAAGTGGTAACAAAATGCATAGTGTCACAGTGGATTTAGACCCCCCCCCCCAGTCCAAATCCGCTAGCAGATATAGACCCTTCTTCACAGATTTGGACCCCTTTCTAAACTTTCCTTAAAGCATCATTTGCATCATGCAACCCTAACCCTTTTCTCCCTAACATCAGAGTCCTTTTTTGCAATAATCTCCTCTATACATTAATTTTTATTTGTACTGAAAAGGAGAATTTGTTTGATAATCAAAGCTTCCTTGGTTGGCAATAATTTTCTCTACTTTCATAATCTTAATGAGTTATTCACCAGTATTACTGTAATAAGAAATTACATGGTGGTCACTCTTAGGGTTTGAAGGTTTAATTAATCAGACTTGGCAAATATTGGCTTAGTGCTTTACACTACTCCTTTGCTATCTTATTTCTTCATGCAAATCCTGCAAAATGAAAAAGTAAGAGAATTGTGAAGTTTGACTTCCATGACAGTGTTGAATCTGTACATTACGGCTTCAACGTACTATAGCCAAAATGAAATAAGAATTTGACACCTCCTTGAGTTGCATGCCTTTATACCAGATGCATATTCTGACTAAGTAAGTATTTATACAGTGTAGACATTTATGTAGCTTGTAACTTCTTAACTGTGTTTGTGCTCCTTTTTCACAGAAGTCCAAAGTCACCAGTCAGTCCGATGAACCCTTGGTCCAGTAACAACAATGTAATGCCAGGAAAGTTCAGACAAAGAAAAGGGAATTCTTTTGAAGGTGGATAAATTAAATGCCTGTTTGCTCTGAGATTAAATAACTCAACCATAATCACACGTGACATACAACTCAATGGTGTTTCTGTTTTTTCCTTGCAGACAGTGTTGACATTCCCCCTTTAAGTCCTAAAGAGGAGAGTGGTGGATTAACTGAGGTACTTACATCATGAAGTTCATAAGTGATCATTGTATCTTGAATAGGCATTGTTGGCGACGTCTATCCCAAAGTCAATAAGAAGGTGACGAAGGTCAGAATCTTCTCCCCGTTTTATTCTGAAAATAATCAGTTAACAGCTAAAATCGCAATGTTGCTAAGGTTGCTAAAGTTACTAACATACCAACTAACCGGCTAAAATAACTAACAAGGCTAAACTAAACCATTGAAAAAATGCCAAGATAAAAACAACAAAGCCTACCGATTATCAACGTTTGGTAAAAGATCCAGAGGTCGACAACAGTGAAATTAAACAGTTTCGGAAAGATACAAATTAGCTCGACCACATGCATGTGGGAAAAAAGGGGAGAGCTCCTTTTAAGTATGATTTTGAGTGAGAAACCGCTGTTCAATGAGATTGTTAAACGCAGGCCTCAACATTATCTCTTCTCTTTGTAAAGTTGTCAGGGAGATTTGGTAAACTGTTAATTAACAGCTTTGGGTTTGTGACAATGCCTGACCATTGGGGTTTATACTTCACAGTTCCCCTCAACACCCAGGATTATAATAAACACAAGTGAACCATTAAGAAAGCATGTTGAAATCCTTAGAGTTTCTCCGTAAAGACCAGCCTTCCATTTAAAGTGTGATTGCTGCACCCATGTACTTGTAAGCTCTGAGTGTAGAGGTTACTTTGCACAGTCTTGCAATCCTTCTGGTACCCCACATTCTTGGCTGTCAGTAATAGCAGTGGAGGGCATGGAGTCTTTTACTAATTGAACTGACCTCTCAGGCTATCATGTGGTCTTTGAGTAAGAAACAATTGTTTTGTTTCCCATTCCCTCTCACCACCCAGAGTATTTGTATACTTTTGGTATCTTGTAAGCTGTAAACTGGATTAGCATTTTGCCTGGAAGAAGTTTCAATACTCTGCAAGGTATGTAAGGCAGGATTATCCCAAACCCCTTTGCAAGTCAATCTTGCCTGCAAATTGAACCCTTTAACTACTGTTGTTGTAATTACAGGGCAATAATGCTGTTTCATTGCAGTGCTAAGGGGGTAGAACCCAAAGGGTTTTGTTTGAAGTGCTTCATCAGTTTGTTTTCATTCTGCAGGAGCTAGTTTTCATAACCCACGTGGAGAGTCCTGTTAGATTTTGGGCACAGGTATAAATACAAAAGTAATTCTGTCAAAAGTACTCTATATTTGATCCTAACTAGATTTGTTTAGTGAGGATTAATCACTGGCCCAAGTTTTATTTTTTTTTCTTTTAGAAGGTTGTGGTATTATCTGAAACAATAAAAAAAAAAACAAGTTTTAAAGAATTTAAGGGCTTTTAGGGTGTAAAAACCTTGTAGTCTATCAAGGTATTTTTTTTAAGGTCCATAACTTCCCATCTCTCTGTCATAAAATGGTGTATTGTAAATGGTAGTATCTTATTTTAAAATGCTTTCCTGTCAACATACATGCAGTCGAAAAATTCTTAACAATTCTGTGACAGTCATAGATGAAGGTAGAAGTGAAACAATTTCTTGTGATTTTCCAGCTCAAATTTGTGAACATTTTTTGTTTATCTTGACCCCAGATCATTCTGGATTTGGTATCATTTGACCAAACATTTTGCTTCTGCTTTTTTTTTTTTTTTGGGAAGGTCATGGCTATTTTGGTGGAAAGTGATGATATTTAAACCTGAACCAGTTCTTCTAATTTTTATCACTGGCCATCTTAATTGTGATGCTTGTAGAACGCATCCCTTGTAAACAGGAGTTTGAAAAATTGCCATCCATTTTATCTCTATCTGATATGAAGAAACATAGGAAATCTTTGCATGTTCTTGCATCTTTTATGTAACTATGTTACTTTCAGTCAGCAGAAGTGGAGACTGCTCATGTGATTGAGAAGATGAGCAATGACCTTCAGATTTACTGTAGAAACAAGCCCCTGCTGCAATCCACTCCACATGTTGGCAAGGTAAATATTGTGCAGACCAGATATTATCTCAGCTTGTGAGGAAAAAAATTATTGATAAGCCCTGCATGTAGTTTGTAAGAAGTGCCACTAATGTGTTGAATGTAACTAAAATGTAGGTGGGTGCAACTTTGTCCTTATCAGTCGTGGAAATTCATTTTCTTGCCCAAGATGTTTTCTCTTTGAAATGCATATGGATTTGCCTTTCACCCTTTTGATTCTTGAGTTCTTATCATCAACAGGCCTGTGGCATTGAAACTTTTGCAAAATTGGCACCAGCAGGTGCACCAGGCAAGCTTAATTTTGCCACCAAGCGGGAGAGTAAATGTTATTTGAACATGATTCTGTTTCATTATTAATATTTCTGCACAATCTTATCTAAGACATATGAGGATTTGTTATCAAGAGCTTCGTCCAAGTAATTGCCTCAGCTGAGTTAAAAAAAAAAAGATGATAAAGACCATTGCACTTAATGATTTCAAGAAAAGTATTTTTTTTTTAAGAACCAGCCCTTTAGGATCTGATTTGTAACCTTCTCATTAAGATCTTATAGATATGGTAAAAGAAGATCATGTGTGACTTAAAGAACATCCCTTAGTTGGTAACTGTGTCTACCCATCTCATCCCTTTGCTTTGTACTGTTTACCTGATATCATAAGGAGAGTGTTTGGGTTAATGACTCCTGGGAGTAGGTCCGAATCAATTTAGTGGGTCAGAAAATGTGGGATGGGGCTATCGACCAAATGGTGCCAATTTCAAGTCGAGAACCTGGTTCTGCAAGTCTTTGTTGAAAAGTATAACGTAGTTGTAACTGGAATAAAGTTGACTTTTTATTGTTGTTTGGGGCTGCACATACATCTAATATGTGTTATCGTTAAGATTTATGGTGGAGTTTACCTGGAGGATCAACAATGGTATCGCTGCCGAGTTAAGGAGCTTATTGAAGAGGATAAGGTATCAAATTCAGCTCATGAAAAATGAAGGATAACAAGTAATCTGTCTAAATTGATCATATGGACACAATTGTCTTTGATCTTCGCTGATGAAACAAGTTGCATTAAGCTAGTTTTTACATGTTCAAAGGCTAGAGTTGTGAAATTCTCAAGAAGAAATGAAACCACAATGTGTAAAACATAAATTTAGCAAGTACTGTAGTTCATGTGAAGAAGCCATCAGTGTAAATGAGAGTGAAGGATTGTGATGTTTATGGTAAATGGTTTGAACTCAGGGTAACAATGGTTTTTACAGTCTGATCATGCAGGAGAGACAAGTTCTGTAAAGGTCAAAAGTAGTCTTGAGGGTTACTCTAACGGTTACATCTGCTTAGGGTGTTAAGTTTACAGAATCAAAAGTGTTGTCAGCTCTACACTTAATTTGAAGGTAGCTGGAACAGTTTTGGTTTGGGTTTATATTTCTTGCTTGCATACATTGTCAAGTGGTCTCATATAAGGTTGATTCTTTTTCACTTTCTTATCATAAGCACATTGGCTGAAAAACATTTGTAAAATTGAAATTGTTTTCAGGTCAAGGTACATTTTGTAGATTTTGGCAACACTGAAGTTATAAGTCTACGAAGTATTGTGTTCCTGTCACATGATTTTCTCTCACCGGCTCCATTTGCCCAGCTGTATTGCCTTGATGGTGTGGTAGTAACTAGTGAAGAACTTTTAGTAGAGGTACACTATAATTTAGATCTCTGTTTTCAACTTATGAACATTACATTCTCTTCATATTTACTTTTCAGTCCTTTTCATTGGAGTTTTAGTTTTCTACAGGAGTCTGATTCTAAGCAATACTGTTTACCGTAAAACCAGCAGATATGCCCCGCCTGCAGATAACCCGCACCCTGAATTTAGCAGCTCAAATTTTGGAAAAAAAGTTTTTTGAAAGAAATCAAAAAAAATCCAAAGTTGAGCCTTGAGAAACCTTCTTCATCCACTGTTCGTCGAATGTAAACTCACCATTAACATTGCTACGGAAGTACTTCAAAGTCTTACCCACAATTTTAGCACTTTGATAGAATGAACATCATTTCTACCAACTTTGACTTATGATTGATCTTTTTCTGGTATTTGTTGACAGGAATTTTTTCATTCAACACAGTTTTCCATAAATTTTTGCATTACGAGAAGAATGTGAGCATAACAATCAAAGCTTAGTAACCAGGCATTCGATTGTACGCAAAAATGGAAAACTGGACATCTTTTTCAAATGTTCTCACAGATAAGCTGCACCCCCAATTTCTAGCAACAATTTTTGGAAAAAAAGGTGCAGATTATCTGTGGGTATTTACAGTGTTTTTTTGTCAAAGAGTGCCAAGAAAAATCTAGGAATGCATACATTGTTTCATCACATTCCATCTGCAAAATTAATATTTACCTTTTTACTTATCAAATATAAATCTTGAGTCAATTGCTGGACTTGGTCACCTGTGTTTTTATATGTCCATAGTTGCTTGTAGACATGATTGAATTGAAAGTTTTGTTGAATGGTCCATTATGTTTACCGGTACCATGCTTTTGCTTTCAGCTGACATTTCGTTTCGAAATGCCTTGTTTGAAAATATTTTGTTTCCTTATTTTGCAGGGATCAAACATGCTGTATAATCTTAGCATTGGCAAGCTCCTTACCATACAATTGAAGGAACCAAGAAGGGCTCTAGATGGTATGCTTATCAGAGAATTTAAAATTTTAAATATTCTTCCCAAGGATGTCAAAATTTACCTATGAACAGTTCAATTGTTGTGTTGCTCTCCTTCTTTCTAGTGGCCTGTGCTGTGGAACTGAGGGATAATTCTGAAGTGGGAGTTGGAAATATTGCAGAAGAGTTGATCAAGCATGGGCTTGTCACTTCTACATCTGCTGGACAGGTTCTATGAAGTTGTGTGTGTGTATAAAAGTTTCTGCGGCAGGGTTGCATTTCAGAACTTGGTTCGCAACCTAAACCGCTTACTGTGCAGGCTTTTGTCACACCCACACATCAATGTTACACCAAGATGTGATCAAGAAGATTAATGTACATAGAAGAACTGCTAATGTTGTTTTTCCTTTTTGTCTTAGGATGGTCCACCCCCATTATCTCCAAGGTATAAATTACTTACAGTTAACATAAATGTGGATTTTATAGCTATCAATTTGATGTTGATTATATTTTTTGTATCAATTCTCATTTTTAACTCTGTTGCAATACACAGAACCTCACTAAGTGAAGCCATAAGTAAGGAAATGGAGGAATTGACCAAAGAAAATCAGTCATTGAGAAATCGTATCAAATTGTATAAAGTATGCTTTGATTTTTATCTTTTGTTGTTTACTTATTGTTGTCTCCTTATGTTGGTTGCTACCTTGTGAATGTTAATTTAGTCTTGTATGTTTCTCAAAAGGAGGGTGAAAAAGCTGTTGATGAATTACGAAAATATTATTCTGCTCAAGCAGCAAAGCACAAGGAAAACATGGAACAAGCTGTCAGCCATAAGGTTTTAATAACCTGATTCCTACATATGCAAATACACAAAACTATTTAAACTTAAATTATGCAGATTCCAAGTTTGCTGCATGTCATTAATCATGGTATATAACAGAATGTTTGAATAATTTTGTGGCAGGTGTTAGATTTGGTCAGCAAAGTCCATGATCTTAAAGCAATGAGGTAAGAAGTAAGAGTCGCAAAAAGGGGATGGTGTGTGTTTTTATGTCAGTTTCTTTTCTTTGTTATGCAGTTTTTTTTTTATCCTGGCAGAGATGCTACTCCAGCTAATGGAAAGACTTCTGAGATGATCATGGAAGCAGTAGATCTGACAAGAAATGACAGGATTGATTTGAAGAGTATAAAATCCTTGCAACAGGTAAAAAGAAATTAACAAGTTTGACTATCTGTGGAAACACTTTCATTCCGTCTCATTTAGGTTGTACTTGCTTTTTAAGTTTTTTATGACACAGCTTACCAAACTTTGAATCTGAAAGCCTTACTTATATGCCGTACAGGTAACCTGTTGTGATTTCTTGAAATCTTCAGGTTCTGGAGAGTGAGAAGAATCTTGAAAAAGCACAAGATAATCTGCGGCACTGTAAAGACAAGGTAAAAACCCTGTTTTTTGTGAAGTTGGGAAATGGTGCATGTAAAAACCTTGTCAGAGAGAATAGGATTGAATGCTGAGGCCTCTGAAGCAAGTTCATTTTAAGTTATTGTCATGGTGGTTTATTTGGTCTCCTCCCATTAAGCTTACCAGAATGACTTGAAAAGATTTAGAACAAATTTCCAGTTTCATTCTCAGATGTGAGCTTTGAAAATTACAATTATAATAGATACAAACAACAATGTATGTACCTTTACATATGATAAAACATTAACCAACAGTATTCTTGTTTTGTCAGTGTGGTACTGTGTCAGCCCGGGCTGTAGACTTACATGGTTTTGTATTTCTTGGCTGTAGGAAGAATTGTTGTCAGCTGACTTGATACCCAAGAGAGATGAAGCAAAGCAGATGTTTGTTGATAGTATTGAGCTGTTTTGTAAAGAAGTGGACTTGCTACCCCTTCAAGAAAGAGAAAAGCATTTGCAGGTAAGGAGACAAGTACATTGCATTACATTTGTTGTTGTTGAGCAAGCTTATTTTTCTGGAGGGAAGCATCAAAGTATTTTACATTCTTTGTTCTTTTTTTTTCTTTTAGAATGTACTGGGTCAGCTTCAAGACCAAGGAGGTATCAACAGTTTTGCTCAAGACGTGGAAATATAGTTTCAGATGTTACAAGGATATTATTATTCCATCCCTAGGATATTGAACGGTTGATTATGCCTCTCAGTTAGTGTGTGAACTTTGATTGGTTAATTTAGCTGGCCGTATTTCACTGTGCAGCAGGCTAAACTCAAAAGTTTGTTTTGTTGCCAGAAGAGAAGTGATATTTCTTCCATTTTAAAGTTTACTTGTATCAAGAGATAGCATCATCACAAAGGTCACCTCAAAAGGTTTCCCCTGTGGTGGACCCATTGATAAAGTTGTATAATTTTTTTTGATGAAAAAATGAATATAAAATGTTTCAGACAGCTCCAATACAAAGTGTGACCTAGCTGTAGAAGAGGCAGTTCAAGCTTATGAGGATTGGGTGGTATGTATTGATAAACCCTGCATTTAAGTACTGAGTGTGGGGAAAATAGTCATTTTTCATAACTCAGAAGATTACTTTCTCTGAGTGGTGTCAATCAGATAAACTTACACATAGTTAAATATTCCTGCCAAGATCACTATACTTTGGGTGGAGAGGAGCCAGACACTTTAAGCACTACCTGCCTCTCTCTTTAGGGCAGCTGTAGTTTTACCGTGCATTCAATTAAGGAATGGAATTACTTACCTAAAACACCCAGGGAATCTAAAGATATTCATAGCCTTAGAGCATCGTTAAAAAAAGGACATCCTAGTAAACAGAAAGTTGATTTAATAAATGTTTTCTGAATGATTTGATTAGAGATATCTCTATGTTTGAACACACTAGGTATTGGCTATTCTAAGTTTTACCTGTGACTTTTGTCTTGGCATCCTCTATCTATAGTACCTTATAGAATATATATATATAATGAATAATAATTCTTCATTTTTAATTCAACTATTGTAGACATACCTTTTCATATTTTACATTTTTACACCTTTGAATTGACTTATTTATATATTTTGGATTTATCTCCATATTTATTCTGTAATATATATTTTTGTTTGTTTTATTTGAGGGCCACCGGGTCATCAGTTAATTAGTACTGTTGTGTGTCACCCTCATTAAATACGGTTACTTACTTACTTACTTCAACAAAGGGATATGAAAAATGTGAGGGAAACTTGAAGAATTGCAAGGGGGCAAGAAGTTACAGTCTTTGTGTGGTATTCTATTCTTGGGAGGTAGAAACAATCTCAGTCTGGTTATGCATATCGTAGGGATTGCAATAGGCTTGACTTTGCTTTTTATTTGATTGTCGTCGAGGCTGAGTGTGGACCCTTTGTTGTCTATTTGTTTTGCTTTGTTTTGTTTTGTTTTGTTTTAACTTTTATGTCCTTTCAATTAAATTAACATAATGGAGAAGTATATTACTCAATTGCTTGTATACACAGCTCTCTTGAAGTTCATAGCTTAGAGAGTTAAGCAATTTGTATTCCAATGCAGGAGAGAAACCATCAAGATATGGCAGATGTTAGACAGAAAGTCCACCATTGTACAAATGACCTTGTAACAGCATTGTCCAATCTACAGTTGGTAAGTTAGGTTGAACATGTTATGTATATAGACCCCAAGACTTTAGGGATAATGGTAGTCTAGAAAATTCAGACAATCTGTACTTTTTTCACAGGCTCTGGTAGTATTACAAAAGGACAGTGAAGCTGTCAGTACTTCTGTTGTGTTTGATGACATGGATACAATGATGAATGCTTTGTCTTCAGCAATACAAGAAGAAATGGACAAGTCCAAGGTACTAAAAGTATTGTCAGTTGTTATCACTGTTGAGATAATATGTTTACAATCTTTGTGAAAACTGTTTTGGACTTCCTAGCATTTTTGGTAAGAGTAGCACAATGCAGAGGTAGGAGGAACATACCTCTGTATTTTTTTCACTGGGCAACAAGTAAAACATAAGGGAAAATTATCTAACCAAAGACTTAGTATGGAGTTGTCATACTCATGGCAACTTTGCAATTGATCTGTGTATTTTAGGTATCAGAGGATAAAGAGGCTCAGCAGATAGTTGATCGAACAGTAAAAGCACTCATTAGTGAACTGAGTAAAGAGTTCCAAGATGTTAGGGAACTGAGGTGAATTCTAGAGGGAAAAAAGTACACTTAGCTTGTAACATTTTTGCTGGTTTACATCTTGACTTATCTGCGTGTACCTAACAAATAGATTCCACATTGCAGTACATACATATCTAGAGAGTTATAGATCACAGATGATTTCGAAATGTGCTAAGCGCAAAAATTTATTTATTTAAAGAGAGGCACACAATGCATAGCCAAGGGTGTCACTGATGTACTAATCATGTTTTGACGTCTTCAGTAATCTGTTACTGAATAGACCCACAACAAGATGGAATCTATTTGATTTAACTAATAATGGAGCAAAAACTGTCAATGGTGACTTCTTATTTAAAACACAGTGACAATGCGTGTAGAATTCTTGCAGTGTGTAATAGAAAGGTGGGAACTGGTGGGTTTGGTAGTTCTATTTTATAAGGAAAATTTCATCATTAAGTGGAATATAAGGAGACACAAAACCTGACAGACTAGCGGATTCTCTTTTCAGGGAGTCTTATATTTCATTTTACAACAGAGGGAGCAGTTGGTATTGCATTACAAAAGTCAGTAGGGGCTTATTCCACACCACACTTCCCTTTAATTCTATACAAAAGACACCTGGACAAAGCATTATACTTAAATCTATTAACTAAGAGTTTATTTATGAGCAGGCTAGAGTCAGATACTTAGAAAGGTCTCTTCTTGTTCCATATCATGTTCTACAGGGACAACTTGGTGATAAATTACAGAACTCTGCAGGTTAGTTTACAGGCTAACTACGAAGGGCTAACGTAATCGTAACGGTGGCCAATTTACCATTTCAACTTTGCTGATATATTCGAATTATTTCGTTACCCCCACCGACGCAGCCCCAAACAGTTTCTTTAGAAACTATCAGCCTTTATTCATAAGTATAGTTTTATCACAGATATCAACCAGTTATTTCCTCATAACCTTGTTAGGTTTCAGACCTCTTGTAGCTAGTTAGTTATGTTGACATAGCTTTGTTTGTGTGGGTTTTCCTTCTAAGAGTCAATGTCAATAAACATGTTGCTGTTATTTTTTTGTTTTTTGTTTTTGTTTTTTGAAAAATTAATTTGATATGTGTATTTTGGCCTAAGAAAATTATGACTTTCTTTTGTACAAAATTATGCTCCTCAACTCTCAAGCATCATCTAAGGAATTACATGAAGCTGTTTTAAATAAGTTACTATTAATAGTACAGATGAAAATTTGCCAGTGAGAATAGAAATAGTCAGGTATGCGGAAAATTCAGTAAATCATTTAAAAAAGAAACTTAAAAGATTTGATTGACATTTCAGGTAGACTTAATCTTAATATAGTACTCTCATGGGTATTTTGACTTATTTAACTGATGTGCAATTAACAGGCTGATATGGGCAAATGGCTGGAAACAAAGCCTGATATAAAGAAAGCCATTGAAATAAAGAGAATCATTAAAACCCTTCGTTCAAGATTGCGCCATAGGCTGGCAGACAAAAAAGACTTGGAAGAGGTTGGTTTGACAAACAAGGAAAGTATATACCAGGTAGTTGATCTGCTTAAGAGAAAACGTTTTTGTGTTAGGCAGTACATTCATTTTTAGTTCAAAGATGAACTAAAAATGGCATGCAAGCCTCAGGCAAGTTTGCTATTGTTCTTCTTAACAGACACATGGCAGAGTGGAATCTGTGTGTTGCAATCAATGAAAAGAAAAGTGAAGTGAAGAAAAGTACTACATGATTTCAAAGCAGCACTTAATGACCCTTAATTATTATTTCAACACCTGTTCCTTTTTTCTGGTTACGATTCTTTTGGAATGCTGATAATTTTTCTCTGGGTTGCTTGTGTTTCTTCCTGATATACGGTTCCTTTTGAACTTTGTTTGTGGCCTGTACTTTTTCAGTTCAGAATAATCTATTAATATTTTCAAAACTGTGTGCTGTCAACCAAACATCTGTACTTAAATTTGATAGATCATTAATAACAAATAATCACAGAGCATTTATTGTTCAGTTGTAATATGAATTAAATATGAATTGTAGTTTTTTTTAAGGAAAGTAGAAATTAAGTCTTTTTTTTTAATGTTTTAAATCAGTCAGAAGGGTCAACTAAGGTTAATGCCATTCTGTGATTCTCCATCATCAGGACAAATCCCAATGATGACTTCTTTACTGCTTAGGTGGTTGAACAATACTTCATAATTCTTAATGTGTTAAAAATGAGCAGCATATGGTAGCTTGTGGATTGATTGGTTGAATGATTGGTTTATAGGGAGATGAGCCAGAAACTTCCGAAGAACTCCAAAAGGTATTTAAGCATTTTTTTATGGTAAAATGTACAACACTTAGACTGTGTGCTCATAGTTGATAACGGTGTACAGTTTCCTTTTTTCCATGTTCTTGATCTAATATTTGTTTCTTTATAGGTGGAAAATGAAATTTCGGAAATATATTTAAAACTTCACCTAAGTTTTGAGGATGAAAGTAACTTTTTGGTAAGTGTGCAGGATAAGATAAGCCTTGTTTACATGATTGTAAATTAGAATGTCCTCCAACCTTAACAAAGTGGCTTCTTGAGTCTTATGGCCCAGCTGCTCTTTTACATGTAGTTTTTTATGGCACAGCTGTTACAAGTCGCCTATGGGTTATTGCAACAAATGCAGTGATGTTCTTTTGCTGCACTGGCTGAGGCATAATTATTCAATTCTCTTTTGTGCACATTGACATTCATGACAATTTTAACGGAGGGACATGGGCATATCTCTTGTAATAAAGTCTATTCTATTCTATTCTTCTATATATGTAGGGTTGTGTATTTGTATATCTAAAATGGCAGAGAATGAATGCACTGCACTTACAGTCTGAAGAGAGTAATAAAGATTGTGGCAGCCAGGGTTGAATTATACATTATTACACGACTCGGGAAGTCAGAGGGCCAATAACTAAAATCAACCAATCAAAATGCTCTATTGCCGGTCAATATTCTCTCAGTATTGGACCAGGCACTGTCCCGAATGGTCCCGAATGATACCGCACTTGTGTCCCTTTGAACTTCAGTCGTATAATAAATCTCTTATTAACCAAGCTTGCTCGGGACCGTACTGGAAGAATATCGGCCCTCGGTCTTTTTTGTACGGACCTCGCTGCGCTCGGTCCGTACTGTCAAGACCTCGGGCCGATATTCTCCCAGTACGGCCCTCGCGCTTGGTTAATAAGATATATT